TGACAAAAAGCGAAAAAAAAGAATCGAAAGAGAAGGAAGGATGGATGCTGAAGGATCCGATGCGGCAAAGGAGGCCAACGAAGGAGGGTCCAACTATTCCCATACCTTTTCTGTACATGCTGTTCCCTTTGAGCCTGGATTAAACGCGTCTTCGTCTATACCAAATAGGTGGCAAGACGTGTCCTCTACGATGTCAGATCAATTGTCCACCATGGGGGCAAATGCATCCTGGCCCTACCCGACACATTACATTGATTTTTTTACTTTGAACGCAAGCATGAGGACCATTCTGGAGGCGGCAGCCATGATGAACGCCGGGGCGAAACGCTACAGCGGAGCCCCCATTGTGAGAGCATCGAGTCCTAGCAAGAAGAATCTAAATGCCTCTGAAGGCAGCAAAAAACGAGAAAAAGGCGGCATATCAATCCATGCTAAGCCATGGTCCCCATCACCTGAAACTGGACTAAGTCCAAAGGAAGGAGACACTTACACTCACCTAAAGAAAGGGTGGGTAAAGGTTCCGTACCGTGGTGAAATGGTGATTGCCCCAGTTGCTTTCAAAGAAATAGCTAATGATTTTGTGCACTCGCTTACTGTAAAACCTATTGAAAAACCAAGAATTCAGTTAGAACTGTATAATTATCATTGTGCGCGATGTGCAACACATTCTTTTTTTGGGCGTTTGTCGTGCAGGGGCGCGGATGTTATTTTGAAAGGCATTGCTGGAGATATTCCCCCGCTGTGCGTAGCACATTTACTTGAACAGGTTACGGGAGCTGTTGTTTGTGCCTTATTTACTGAGGGTGACTATCTTGACTACGAAATATGGCTAGAGAACCCCGATAAAGCTAATTTCTTTGCCAAGACGATTTCTGATGCAATGTGGACATGTCCAATGTTTCATGGGTATGCGGTTCACACGAGGACGGAAGATGGTAAGGCTTTTTTGCATGAATATATATCAAGCCTCAAAGACGATTTTCCCGAAGAGACACCTTACCCTATGCGTTGCGTCGAAGCGATTACTTCATCTACTGGAAAAGTAAAAAGTTAAATGTGAAGGATTTATTTATTTTATTTTTTCTTTTATGAGGAATACACTAGGTAACATGGACAATGATTTGTTATTTGCTGCTCTCTATCTTTTCTCTGACATGATCAAAACCCTTGCATACATCTTTACATCTAGAGAGGGATACAAATGACAAAAAAAAATGCATCTTTTTTATTCCTGTTTTTTTCCTTCCCCCCCCTACAAATATATAGTTGCTCTTAGTTGCCACGCAGAATATGTCTCTGGAAGCTTTGGGTGACACCTCAAAGACAACTGCCCAGCCAGATCGGGCTGTGGCGGCGTCGTATACACCAGAAGAGCAGGTGTTTCATCGATTATTTCCTCAGATTCCATTATCAGAAAAACTGGTGGACTCTCGTCAATGTGGTTTGCTAACAAAGAAAAAAAAGTTGTTCGCATGGGAAAAATTTATGCATCATCACTGCGTCTATGTTTTATTTCTTCCTTCTTAAGAGAACAAGTTATGATGCGTTGGGAGGATGTTGATTCTGTTGAAAAAAGAACAAGCTTTTTTTTTGAGTCCATTGTTGTGAAAACAAAGCAACTTGAGGAATACGCTTTTTCTGGCTTTTTATTCGGAGGAGCAGGTCAAATATTCAAGCTGCTCAAGACACTATGGACCGTTCGTGCAAGATACGCCTTTGCCCAGACGCCAATGCCCCAAATACAAATACCACTCCCAGTATCAGCGGAACCGTCCCCAATAGAAGCTTCCTCAGGGTCGTTTCATTCGCGTGGAAAAGCATATCCTGTAAATGATGGAGTTGCATGCAACGATGAGGATACAAACTCCTCGAGCTCTTTGGCCTCATCATTAAGGGCAACGCATTCGGAAGCTGCGTCGCGTAATCCACTTAACGATACTGGAGCAAGTGAACTTGAGGCCAACGAACTCCCGCTTCGGGATCAGGATACCGAGGAAGAGGCTCAGAGTGTATTGACACCGACAAAACCATTGCCAACTCAAGCTCCAGTTTTAGCAAACGATGATGAGTTGCAATCCTCACCTAACATTCCCAAGTCAGAGCTATTGATCGATTCCTTTCAATGCAGCTATGTAAGTGGAGTGCATCGACTTGGAAGGCTTTATATTACAACAAAGTACATATTATTTTCTTCATTGATGATGACGGAGACTCTCCAAATCAGTTTTGCGGATGTGACCAGTATTGGGAAGGAGCAAACCATGATGATATTGGACGGAATTGTCATTAAAGTTGTTGGCGGTGAAAACTATAGTTTCACAAGTTTTGTCAGTCGCGATGCTGCATTTAATATTTTGACCCATTTTTTTAATGTAACGAAAACGCTTAATCCTCCATCACGGATTCTGTCTCAGGCTCTCCAGGGGCGCAATACATCTACCGGGTTTACAACCCAAACAAGTGAGCCAGATATCTCGAAATTTCCTACTGTTGATTCACTTGACGACTTTTCGAAGGTATTGACCGATTACGGAACGGCCCTCAGCGATTTCTCATCCTTCACAAGGGAGCTTGTGGACCCCATTTTGCTGCCGGAGGGAAAAACTGTCCTGGATGTGTTCAAGGTTTGCTTCGACGATGACGCTTCCCTGTTGGAGGAGTATCATAAGGCGCGAAATGACACCAAACAAAAGTGGGAGCCGTGGCGACCTGCGAATGCCGGCAGCCCGCCGTTTTCGGGCCAAAGAAAATTCACGTGCACAACGACAATTAAGGCTGTGGTGTCCAAGTCGTGCCCATTT